ACTCAGGGTCGAATGCGGTGGTTAAAAAAATTGGGTATTGGTTTTATGAAATGGATTCAAGTATGTTTGTGAGGGTAGATTTGTCTAGAGGAAGGTACATAATCTCAGTACCGTCTAATGTTCTTCTACTTTGAATGATCTTATGGTCCCTGAATTCAGTGAGCTGTGTTCGGAACGTGATGTCGTTACTGACAAAGAACGCTTCTCGGCATTTGGTATAGTAAGCATTGTATGTCAACCCAACGCTTTCGTCGCCTCGTCCTTCCATGGTGGCCAGCTCCATTTCCATGACTTGATGCTCTGCCAATACCTTGAATATACCTCTTGCATTGCTTGTCAGTGATGCTAAAACATAATTGACACCGCGTGATCCTCCTAATTCACTCTGTCGAACCATGAGCGTGTTTTCGAAACTAGTTTCCACCAAATAGTCGTCGAACGTCGTAGCATCGTGCCATATCCAGTTGAATCGTGATATCTTGATACTATCCCATAAAAGTCCAGCATTTATGTGATCAATAGATGCAATGATGTGAATATTCGGACATGATGCCAAGATGGATAGTGCTGTTTGCGCTCGCTCGTTTCGAATGTTTGCGCCATCAATGTTGTGGATCAGCAGATAGATATGCTCATATTCATTTTCGCCTCTTTGGAAATGTTCCATAATCAAACTGACATGGTCTTGAATGGATCCAGTTGGGGAGTTGATACCAAGCGCACCGATGGACAACTTGTTCAATATATCCTTGATGGTGATGGACGGGAAGTAGCCATTCACAACAATCAGAGGACCATCCGTGAGATAAGTCTGAGCAAATTTGGTCAACAATTTTCGCTTGGATCCATATCCGTAGAAAAGCAAGTTATAGTGTGATAAAAGTTCGAATTGCCATTGAGGAAATTGTCGTTCATGGAGAGAGTGCAGTATAGCGATATCTTTGGCGTGCTTTTTTGGAGCCTGCGCTAACTTCGTTTTGAATTCTTGAGGGTCTAATATTGGAAGCTTAGACAGAGTGTTGTTTGATGTCTTATTCAAGGCATGCAGATCTTGGAAATATCGTTCGTATCCATCTTTTTCCAAGGGATCCTTTGGTACTTCTTGTTCATCATCGCTTTCATTCTCTTCATCGTGATCAATTTCACTGTTACCATCGTCACTATCCACTTCATCTTCTTCATTCAAAAGTTGTATCTGTCGATCTATAGCCCTCTTTTTCTTGGCAGTGCCAAATACAGTGCTATTGGTCATTTCCAACTCCGTCGCTACATCATCGCGTTGTCGCTTGCTAGTTTCTACCAGTTTAGCAGCATTTTTTGGTGGACGTCCACGCTTTCGAGGTTGCTGAATTTGCTCTTCTTCAATTTCTTCATTGACGGATCCTCTATTTTCTGATTCTTCATCGCTATCAAGGTCACGATGTTCGGCTGTGGCCACTTCTACTCGGACCGCATTTTTCGGTGGACGCCCGCGTCGTCGAGGTTGAGGTATTTCTGCAGTTGCTTCTACACGAGCAGCATTTTTCGGTGGACGCCCACGTCGCCGAGGTTGTGGCGCATCAAGAGTTATCCTGGACAATTGTTCTTCTACTTCATCGCTGCTGGGTTTGTTGGACACATGATTTTCTACACGAACTGCATTCTTTGGTGGTCGCCCACGTCGTCGAGGTTGCTGTACTTCCGCTTCATTGCGACTTTTAGAGATAGCTTCTACTCGAATTGTATTCTTCGGTGGCCTTCCCCGCGGCCGAGGTTGAGGCACCTCGTTCTCACAAAATCGCTGGTGACTTGATGTTGATTCCTCACGTTGGCTTTTGTTGCTGGTAGACTGTTCAGCCTTCGCTGGATTCTTTGGCGGTCGTCCACGTCGCTTCGGTTTCTGCTCCTCTTCGTCCGAGGCCATTACAGTATGTGCTTCATGTGCTTCCGCTAGTCGTTCACTTACTATATTGGCGAAAGATTGCTTCTTTGGTCGGCCTGCTTTGTTGGAGGCTGTCGCCATCATAGCCATTTTCATCATGGATTCAACGCCTTTGCCTTTCAGTTTTGACAATCCAAATAAGTTTCTACCAGTTGCTCCATTTTCTTTGTCGCTTCCACTGCCAGTCTCCTCTATCTCTTCGTTCGTGTGCTCATTGTCGTCTTGTAGGCGGTTGTGTCGGTTTGGAGTGTGCAGTAATATTTGTTCTGCATCATCATGCTGCTTCAGCAGGTCGGGTATCTCGTCAGTGTCATTGGTAGACGCGACTGTCAGTCCAGCATTTTGATACAACTTCTTTCGCTCTAACCCTAGAAGACCACGTTGAAGTCTTTTGGTTTTTGTTACTTCCGTTTCTCGAAATGCAGCTTTAGGGTGGACTGTATTGATGAAATACTCCATAACTTCATCGTTGTCGTGATCTTGTATGATAAGTTCAGACATGGCAATTGGAGTCAGGAAGATGTGAAAATGTGTCAAGACCAAAAATAAATAGAAAATTTCCCAGCTTAAGCGATTTTTTTCGTTGTCACACCTCTTCACTGCAAGAAGCAATGTCACTGGAAATAGAATCGTCAGAGTAAGCTAAAGTCACAGTAATTGGAACGCCACGTACGAAATTGAGATACTTATACACCTTTTTCAAGTGTTATACGACTGATCGAACAGTTTTTAAAAGAAAATAACCTTTCACGAACACTTCAAACTCTGCAGGTAATTTACAACCTCAATGGACAAACTGGTCGATCACAGGTATGGCTACTAACGGATTAATTCTCTTTCTCGGAATAGGAAGAGAGCTCTATATCTCTCAATACAGTGGAGAATGTCGACGCGTTCAAGAAAGATATAATAGACGGAAACTGGGACTCAGTCCTCACGACTGTTCTCAATGCAAGTGTTCCAGCCAAGCAACTTGGTGAACTCTATGAGCAGGTACTGTCATTTAGATAATCAAAGGGACTACATTCGAGATTTATCTAATGTTTCTGACGCTTTTTGTATGCAGATCATCGTTGAGTTGATTGAAATGCGCGAGTTAGGTGCAGCTAGATCATTGCTACGACAGACAGAACCAATGCAATTATTGAAGGCTCGAGCGCCAGAGCGATTTTTGCGTTTAGAGCACTTGGTATCGAGGACATATTTTGACATCAAGGAAGCCTATCCTGATGGAACTACGAAGGAGAAAAGACGCCAGGCAATAGCGAAAGGTATGTGTGGTTGTGAATAATCTGCAACAATGTGTCTAGATTGGAGCTGACATTGCTTTAGCCTTGGCCTCGGAGGTATCCACTGTAGCACCTGCAAGGCTTCTTACTTTGTTAGGCCAATCATTGAAGTGGCAACAGCAACAAGGCTTAGTACAGCCAGATACAGCTTTCGATTTATTCCGTGGTACGACACAAGTAGTGAAAGCCGAGGACGACGCTGTGCCCACAAAGCAATACTCTCTTATTAAGGTAATCGATTGGGCATTAGGGTGTGCTCCAGAAGAATATTTACTAATTGCAGCATTTATCCAGTTTCCAGGCAAAAAAACATATGCGGAATCTGCCGTGTTTTCTCAAGATGGACAGCTACTTGCTACTGGTTCAGTGGATGGATTTATTGAGATTTGGAATTACCTTACTGGAAAGCTTCGTAAGGATTTGCGGTACCAGGCGGAAGTATGTATAGAATCATGGATTCACGGATCACCTTTTCATTGCTGAATTCTGACGTGTTTTGTCTCATAGGAAAACCTCATTGCTATGGATAACTCCGTCATTAGTTTAGCATTCAGTAAGGATAGTGAGCTTCTTGCATCAGGATCAACTGATGGCGTTATAGCGGTAGGGCTCACAAAATTTGATATTTTACATGGACAATGTAGATTCTAACCATGGTTTGAATTAGGTGTGGAAAGTCGCCACTGGACATTGTCAACGACGATTTTCACCTGCGCATAGCCAAGGTGTCACATCTATTGCCTTTAACAAGGACGGAACACAAGTTTTAAGTTCCAGCTTCGACCACAGTATCAAAATTCATGGCCTTAAATCTGGCAAGATATTGAAAGAGTTCAGAGGCCACACATCATTTGTAAATAATATCACGTTCTCGGCGGATATGGCACGTGTCATGAGCGCTAGCAGTGACGGCACTGTAAAGGTGAGTTGAGTAGAAGAAACAACAAAATTAGTGGAAGGGTTACTAAGCGGGCACTTACGTGCTGCAGGTTTGGGACACGAAATCAACATCATGCATAGCGACCATTTCTCCTCAAGCGCAAGTGGATGTTCCTAAAGGCGCACTCAACCCTATTGGAGGAGCTGGTGGACAGACTGTCAACAATGTGATTGTCGTTCCGAATAATCCAGATCAAATTCTGGTTTGTAGCAAGACCAGCATGCTATACCTGCTCAATATCCGCGGTCAAATGCTCAAATCATTCACACACGACAAGAAGAGTGGAGCAGATTTCATTTCCGCAGCTATCTCGCCTCATGGAGACTTTGTGTATGCGGTAGCTGAGGACTCTGTGATGTATGCTTTCAATATTTCAAATGGAGCTTTGGTCAATGAACTCAAGGTAAGGACAAAGACGAGCATGAGGAGCAAATCGCTTTACGAGTCACGTGTTTATTTATCCCTCCCTACATTTAGCTTACTGATGCAGAGATCATCGGCATTGCCACCCACCCATACTCCAATATACTGGCTATTTATGATGAGAAGGGTCAAGTTATGCTATGTAAAGCATAAGCAAGATATAATTTTGCACATGGTGTTCGGTAATGACGCGAAAATGTACTCGTTATCCAAAATGGACGTCTACCGAACGATTAAACATATTAGACATAAAATTTTAATTTCATACTAAACGTTGGAAGATTTAAATTTTCTTTCGCACATGGGGACATGTTTTTGTATATGATAGAAAGTGCTCTTGTAGCGATGAGGAGATGTTTTATATTAGATTGAATGCCGTAAGCTACCAATCCGACATTATCCTTGGGATTTTTCGCGCAAAAAATGCGCCGGTATAGCGCAGTGGTTAGCGCGTCTGTCTCGTAAACAGAAGGCCGCCAGTTCAAATCTGGCTTCCGGCATGTCTCTTTTTTTTTCAATCAAGAATTTTCTAAATTTCTATTTAATAATTTTTTATTTTTGAATTCACTGTCCTCGCATGATTGTCCTCAAATCAAAGAAGAATCTTGTCGTCGTTCATATTATGAAAGTCGCAGCTACTATTTTTGTGAATTTATGATCTGGCTATAGGCGCGGTCTACCAATCTGGCGGCGAATACTATCGGAGTGAACTCGCGACCGGTACGAAGAACTATTATATTTTTGCAACTCGTTGAGGCTGGTCACTGAATCAAATGGTATACCTTTGTATGGACCGTTACAGTAATATTCTTGTGCACTTTTTGTCAAGGCAGATCAACACGTGATTTCTATGTTGTCCTGTCCTTTACTTTGTGGGACCAACTTCGCTTGTCTTACCCATTCACACGATGCTCCAATCTTCAGCGGATCACAGAAATCTTGCCAACACGTTCAGTAGTGCCGAACCTCGTTTTGCGCCCAAGCAAAAGACCGCCGCTATTTTAGATAGGAACGAGCAAACAAAGCCCAATGATGAGCAACTGGCCCTGAAGGCACGGCGCACAGAGCTGGGAGCCATTAAAGCAGCGCTAATAAGCTCACTACTTGGCGCTGTTCCCGGCGCCGCGGCCGCGACAACATATGGCGAAGCACTCTCCTCGGGAATTCAGGATATTAGTGCTGTTGCAACGTTGTTTGGTACAGAAGCATGTGCCTCCCACCTTCTTTCATCTTTATCTAAAGGATACATTTACGCGTCTGTAAGTATGCTGTCCATGTTTGGCTCTCTGGCCGCTGTCAAGGCGAGTGCTTACCTGATCTTCCCTGCCAAGTGGCTCAAGAATGCTGGGATGACGGACTGTGGAGCCGATCTTAAGACTTTGGGCTGGGGAGACTCGGCTTGGCCAACCAATATACTTGCAGACAGACTTCGAAGTGTGCCTGGGGGGACTTCGAAGATCACATTTTCGCATAAATTGCAAAGCTGGATCATTCAGGCTACAGTTGCCGGGCTTTCTGGTGTGCTAGGTATTGTTCCTTTTTTAGCTCCGTTGATTTTGGCATGGGACCATGTGTATGCGGCATTCCCCATCATGCGTGTTGTTGGCGGGACTATCATAGGCTGTTTGACACCCATTGCTACGATATTGTGTTTGCAAACGAACTTTGCAAAAAGCTACAGGATGTTTCTCGCAGCACTGCTATGTATTGGTGCGGCCATGACGCTGATTGGATATGTCGGGTGCTATGCTTATATTCAATCATTCCCTGAACAGTGGATGGTGTACCTGTGGTTAAGTCTTGAGGTTGTACTCATGATGATCAGATTCTTTTTCTGGGCCTGGAATCCTCCGTTTGACGATATAACTGATTTTATCACTACTTATACACCACCCGTCGCAGTCATGGCAGGATTCACACTTCCTTGTTATCGAGATCATGAGAGAGTAGGTGTTAGCTTGTCAACGAACTTGATAAATGTCGCCACGCACAAGCAGGTCCTCCGTGGGCTTCGTCATGCAGGGCTTGCTGTTGACCACTTGCCTGAAGCTAGCTTTTATCTCCAAGATGCACGTCCAGCGGGCCGTCTTCTGTGGGTAATTGATACGGTTGGAATAAACATGGAAGGTCAAATAACAGAACATCCTTGCTTCACCTGGATAGATGGCAACCTATTTTTTCAAGGGTGGATGGAAGTTGCCTTAGCTGGCACTGTGGCTTGGAGGATGGAAAAAACTGGATCCAAATGGTTTAATAGCAGTGCGGAAAATGCCAAGAGGCGGCTGGAGGCAAGGTGGAAAGAACTCAATCAAGTAGTCAACGCTGTGGGGAAATGGGATGTGGATGCGAAAAGCGTAAACGTTTCTACAATGCTGCCAATCGAAAAAGCGACACAAGGCATGACCTCCTTGGAGCCTGTTAGCAAGGATTACGCTAAACAGTGTGGCTGTCAGCATTGTTTCGAAACAACTCAGGCTGAAAGACTCACATGCCTGTGGTATGCAACCCAGCTTGAGCAAGCACAACCAGTGAGTATCAAATGTATCACAGGAGGACAGATACCATGGACGAAATCTGATCTTGATGTTAACATAAACAACGTGCGATACTACTTTGAGCAGCGTGGCCGGGTTGGGGTTGCTTTACCGATGTTTAATGAAGAGAAAATACATAGCCAGTTCCTGGGCCATAATATCATCAGGGCTGAAGACATGGAACGCGCAGTAGCAGATGAAGTTAAGAAAATGTCACAGCAGCTTGACTCGGTAGGAGGGCCGCTATGGCTGTCCCATGATGGGCTCACCGGCATAATTTAGACACCAAGAAGCCTGCTTTTATATTTCCTGGTTGTTGCAGGCAATTTTTTCGCCTTCAACCGTAAGAAATTGAACCGAACGTCGTTTAGAACCCCCCCCTTCGCCACCATAATTTCAATTATTGTGGTCGTCGTATAGATATTCTCTAAATTATAGATGTCTTGCGGTTAGAAATTCCAAATTGTTATTTAAATACATACTACACCTAAATCACAGTCCGTCGTACTAATCTCAATACGAAGTTTCTTTACTTCTTTAGAAAAGCAGCTTCATCAATGGTGCTCGACATTGTATCTCCCTTTGCCTTTCGATTGTATCCGTTCATAAATGACATCATAATTTGTGAACTTTGGCCATCGCTTAGCATTTGTATTTTAAGTTTTTTATTAGCATTACTTTGTGTGACTTTGTTGGCAATAGACGCATAAACGACAAGCTACAAAGAACAACAAGCATAGTGATATCTTGTCGTTTGACGACAGCGTTAACATCAATTTAACCATTTTCCCGAAAGTCGGTAATGATGATCTGTGCTTTCATTTTTCCAGTGTCAATTTGTGACTGGATAGCAGAAAGTATAAGTCCCAAATTTGGATTGGAAATTTTGAGTTGTGAACAAAGACGAAGATCAGAAACCTCCATGGCAGATGGCAAGTGTTGTAACGCTCGACACAAAACGAAATTAACACTAGCTAACTCATCAGTACTACAGAAATTAGCGCAAGTGTCTTTCCGGCAGCATTCATCTCCCAGATTCTCTGTTCTCGCTTACAACCATACCTCAGGTAGGTTTTGTCGATTCAACCAACTCAATTGTAAGTGGATACTTACCGGTCATACAGCCAGATTGCACAAGCAACTACTACCAATATTACATTTAATTATGATGAACAGGCAAGTACTTCTTATGTCTCGAGAACTAGGCGATGATTCCTGAATTCTGACCCTTTTTAACAGCGATTCCTGATCTCCGGCGAGACAACTGAAGCATGCGACGATGCGTGAGTAACCTTTCTATAATGGAAGCCATATGCCTCTGCTTGTTACTTACAATGATTTTAAATAGAGTTGCAAATCTTATGAGACTAATTGAGACTTCGGTAAATGTTGACAACAGTGATATTGATTGTTTTCGAATAGAGAGCTAAATTACACCATGTACCGGTCACAGGGAAGCAACAATGTTGGCGCAGATGGAATGGTCAATACGTACGAAGCCCTTCCTTCGGTCAATCAGTTGTCCAGCTTTGGTAGCGATCCCCCTACACCGATGACAACGACGCCTGTGATCGCTCTGCCAGAACCGATAGCAGAAAAAGTCAACTTGAAGTTGCCTCCTTTTGAAAGCGATGAGAAAGCTGCTGATGAGGATGAAAAGAAGAATGAGCAAGTTGTTAAGGCTATATTCACCTTCGCTAAAAATGTGCGCAATGTGCCATCGGTCCTGTCGCCATCCCATTTGTTCCAACAGACAAGTAATGAGTACCTGCACCAAATCGCTAAACGCACAGATACCACCTGTAATCTTGAGGATCGAGTAAGTAAAAAATGAGCAAGCGGCTGAATGTATAGCAAACGATGAAATGAGTAGAATCAGAGATTTAATAATGGGCGTGTCTATTGCAGACGATCACTATTACTGGTAACAACGAGAAAGATGTGAAAGCTGCTGAGCAGTGTTTCCAAGTGTTACAGGCTATTTATGTAAGTTTACCCAAGCTTCTATTTGTAAGAACACAGTTCAATCCCAACTTGACTAACGCATCTGTTCGCATTTACAGAAACGTTCAAAGAAATACAGCAATAAGTGCAAGCCTATTGCGGTCACACACTATCCCACCAAGTTCGATCACTTTGGTTTGGCATTTTGCCATCTCCCACGATACGCTTACCTCAACATTATTGATCTTCCTTCAAGCGAGTCCAGGCCAATACAAGCATTCTTTGTGTTGATACCAGCTTTCAAAGACAATCAAGGCAAATACATGCCACCAAAGCTTATGGTAGAGGATCAAACAATCGAAAGCACGAATGTGTCTGATGCGTCTTCCAGCTCTCCACGCTCATTTTCATTGATTGATGCTGACAAATTAGAGGTCGCCTCACCCTCCATTGATACCTCGTCCATACCTAAGTCACCACCAGCTACAAATCCCTCTAAAATACCCCAATTCCATGTATTGACGTCCAGCAATGGTGCTACTAAACCTAAGGAAACGATAGCCAAGGAAGCGCCCACTGTTGTTAAACAAGCCAAAATGGTCCTCTCACAAACACCTCCAAAACCAGATGTTCCTGTCCTCACTTCAAATTCCAAATCCAAAGTTTTGACCATTCAATCCTCTACTTGGCCACAAACCGCAGTTCAAACCCGGCAGCCGTGGAGTGAAATATCTGAGCCGGCTGACCTAAGTATAGGAGAAGATTCATTTCCCCCACTTGACAAGTCATCCAAAGCTTCACCAACTAAGACGGTAGCTTCTTCTGGACGAAAACAGGATGATGTCTCACAGATGAACAGACAGTTCAGAGTGATGCGGTTGACCCAGCTTCCAGCAGACACTTTGACACCCGAGTCTGATCTATCGCCAGTTGAAGCGTAAGTAGAATTTTATATCCATGAGGTAAATGCAAATCGACTCTAATACACTGATGTAACAGGCTTCGAGCGTATAATTTTCACA